TGTACGTCTTCTTCATTTCGCGCATGACCTTGTCGAAGCGCTTCCACAACTTCTTCCCGTCGGTGAACAGGACCGGCGCTGCAGGGCAAGTCAAACAACAGTGGAACAGCAGTAGCACTTCACTGTCAGCAGCAGTACAGGACTTTCCATCCCCTACAGCACTAAAGCAGACATGACATGAGCACGTTAACCGAACCGTTTGTTTCCTGATGCAACATGAGACTTTTTGTGTCGGTAACATTTCCTGGTTACACCGACTTTGCAGGAGGATGCACATCGCTGTCATGTCGTCATTTTATAACCGATTGCTGCCCAAAGCCGGGCGTGCTTTATCACCCCAGACTATGTCACCAAACTACACGCTACACACAGCCTAGTTACTTCTGGTGGAGGGCTTTGTGGGTGCTGCCTACTTGATGGATCACGACTCTGTCAAGGCAGCGCACCGTGATGGCCTGTCTGCCCTGTCAACACACGTGACAACTTTGAAAATATGTATTTGCGCTGAGCGGACCAAACACAAACACCCTGCATCCGGCGTTACGCATATCGTGTTGAACAGCAGACCATAGCGGCGCAGAGGGTCGGATACGCATTCGAAACCTGCCTCTCTCTGTCGCGGCGGTCGGTTGTGTCTCACGGTGTGTCGCGAAGCGTTTGTTTTCTTACCTCCGTTCAGACTTGTTCTGCCCATGACCTCGAACGTCAGCCACGCCTGCTTGATCACTATGCCGTTTTCCTTGAGCCACTTGAAGAATCCTGGGACAGCGATGTCCTTGTAGCCCTTGGCCGCTGCCTTGTACTTAGCCTCCGTGGAGACGATCCCGGCGTTCCGCTTGACCGCCAAGCAAGCGTACACGATGCACACGTTCTGGAGGTGCTTGAGAAGCTTGATCTGCGAGAGGCCCTTGCCGCCCAGGAGCAACTCCAACGTGCCCTCGACATACCCGTTGAACTCCAGCGGGAGAGGTTGAACGTTGTCTAGTTTCATGACATCCATGGTATGCGGTGGCTCGTGGTGTGTGTGCGGTGTGGATACGCGTGGTGTGCTGATGTAGCTTGTGCGCTTGTGCGAGAGAGAAGCGGCGCGAACTGCAAGAATTCAAAAATCGTTCGCGCGCGCTGGCGCGCGCACGCAAACGCCTCCGAGAATAATCGAACACCTCGTTTTTGGAAAAAGACAGCGTAATAATAATATATAATAATAATAATAATAACAAGTGGGTTGTCGTTTTTCCATATCTTTTTTTGGGCTGTCCCTTTTTGAGAAAAGGGACAGCCCAAAAAGAGACAGCGTAACAAGTGGCCTTAGGCAATGGTACCTCTTGCCGTCTTTTTTCTCTTCGTCTTTNACGCCTCCGAGAATAATCGAACACCTCGTTTTTGGAAAAAGACAGCGTAATAATAATATATAATAATAATAATAATAACAAGTGGGTTGTCGTTTTTCCATATCTTTTTTTGGGCTGTCCCTTTTTGAGAAAAGGGACAGCCCAAAAAGAGACAGCGTAACAAGTGGCCTTAGGCAATGGTACCTCTTGCCGTCTTTTTTCTCTTCGTCTTTGTTGCTCTTACGTTCTCCCTCCCTCTGCTTGTTGAACGCTTGCTCGTAAACCTCTATCCATCTCAGTTCCGCCACTCTCTGCGTGAGTGGTGTGTGGACCATCATTGTTTTGCACAACCCCCGGGGGGGGGGCTTCCCCCCAGGGTAGCGTTGGAAAAACAAACTAACCCCCCGCGGTACGTCAATTTCCCGCCGGGGGGGGTGGTTTATGAAAAAAAAACGATCCCCTCCCCAGGGGGAAACCTCCTTAGCTTACGGTAATTTATCCATTGCAGTCCGCCCCATTCACCTCCCAATCGTTTCTTTTCATATACGAGTGCATGTGAAATCGTATATCATGTTCGTCCTGGTGACGAAACCTTGCGCCGTCTTCTCTGTCTTCCAGCGCCAGGAACAGAAAGGCAGCATTTCCCAACTCCACCACAACCCGCGTGTTGAATGTGGTGACTGGACCCCTCCCCCGAACGCATTCATTCTGGGTTGCCACCAAGACGGGCACTTCGCAGACTTGGAACCGATCTGAAAAGAGGGCTATCGGTGCAGTCTACTATAGTAGTCTCTAGTCTTCTGGTACTTGAAGTCGTTTTCATGTGCATCCTCAGCTTTCGAACGTAATTCCACGTTCACTATTCTACTCTTCGGAGTCATGACAGTATTTTCTAATTCCACAGTTAGTTCCAAAGATCTCTCGAAAATACAAAATCCGTCCGATTTGAAAAGTACGCATTCACATCCATACGAGAGAGACAAGCCGGATACTTTTCACTACGAACCCAATAGAAATTAATCCTTGTTGCTTGGCCGGGCCTTTGGATTCGTTTCAAAGCGAATGTGAATACCACGTCTAGACACAGTAGCTGCGCTTTCCGCCGTCCCCATTTCCGCGGACACACGCATGCGTGATAATGCCGAGTTGACAACACCATCTTTCTCCTTCAAGCTGACGCACCGGTGATGAGGTGATAAGAATGAACTGCACGAAGAAAGCACCATGAACAATACTTCCCCAAGCTATAGCATCCCACCAGTTCGTGCGTACACCGACTCGCAATCCACACACTGTCCAGCTACTCCAATGGTGTGCATCAACCACCAGCTAGAAAAAATCACCTCACGTTTACCTTTGACAACAAGCCGTGTTGGCGGGAAATAGGCGTGTTGTCTAGTGGTCGCCTGCCAACTACTTCTTGAATCTACAAATGTATTATGTCCACACGCGTTTACTCCGTCGCCTTTATCGGCGCTGTTTAAAATAGCGCGTTTTACCCTCGCTCTTCAAACTACTGTACATTCCTTCGTGGTGTTCCTTCTACAGCGTGATGAGTTCTCAAGACCAAACCTTACATCGTTCGCTATGAAAAACAAAAACAGCTTCCCGTCCCCTACCCTGAAACAAGCAGCGCCGATTGTACACTAAACTACATGAAAATCGATGTCTCATTCTACACTACGACCTACTCATCGCCGCTTCCCCTTGCGAGTCCAATGTGTTCTCCGACCAACAAAAGAGACGTACACGCCCGCCCACGAGGTTTATTTATTGTTAACAGTAGGTAAAGATACACAACATGATAAGGTACTCACTCGTGTTTGAAATACGGTAGATCGACGCTGAGAGGGCACAAAACGGTCGTAACATATCGTGATAGATTATCACGATGTATGAAAGCAAGCCCACGCCCAACATCAACATCGATAATGGAAGACTATAGTAATTCCGTACCTGTGCATGCAGACAACAAACGAGCCGCACAATACAAGCAACTTGCCGACCAGAACCCCCGCCCCCGCTCCTGGCCCCGATGGGGACGGCGCTTCCCACCATTAATAAGGGATGGTGTTGCGCCTGTCGAGAGCGATGCGCTGTCCATGCCACAAATACAGTATAGGGAGAAGCAATTGTCGAGTACAACCTCCCGCCTCCCGAACCCGTTTTCACTTCAAAACCATCATCCGACACTCAAGCCACATGCCACGGCTTTGACGACCAATTTGTTTCGTGCTTGCCTGCAACGGCGAAATGACCCTGTCTTGAATTGCCTAATCTGCAACAGTATATTAATGTTTCCCTGTTACCAGGTGGCGACATTGCCCGCGCGACAACTGCACCTGCAAGTGCGTGTGGAGGCAGCCAACAAGGAAAAAAGACGGGAGGGCAATACCCCGCCCGACCGCAATATTTGGAATGACTGGACGAAAATGGACTCGCGCGCAGAACGTTAGCGACTCCACTGCTTCCGGCTACGCCTTGGTTGTCAGGTCCAGACAATCAACTTCAAAGCAACCAACGTCAAACTAAAAACACATCAAGCAGGAGTGCATGCATAGCGCACGCTTGCGTGTGCTTAGTCGTAGCGTCAAGACCATGGCCTTTCCACGTCCACGGCTCGAGGGTGCGCCGCGTAGTTATTGTTCCTTCGCCGGTAGCTTCTCGCTGTCCCTTTTAATGCCGCAGTCCCCGTTGATGTCGTCGCTGCTGTTGCCGTTGTTGTTGCTGCTGCTGCTGCTTCTCGTTATTCTGCTCGAGGTGATGGCTTTGATGCTGCTGCTGCTGCTGTTACTGTTGCTGTTGTTGTTTTGGTGGGCCGTGTTGTTTTCTTTGTTGTACCTGCTGTGCTTGATGGATTTGTCGGCTGGTCGGAAGGAAGACTCGGCAATACTGGAAGACCAGGAAAGGATGAACGCCAAAGGTACAAGCCCGCAGAAAAGAGCGTACATATATCTGGGGTAACGTAGCACGGGGGGGGGGG